TATTTAAAAAATAATAATAATAATAAATAAAATAAAATTGGGCTATCCCCACCCACTTTTCTGCAGCATACAGCAAGCAGAAAAGCTTGGCTGTTCGATTGGACCACTCCAGTTCACTTTGGCTCAAGTGATAGAGATGCCACTTGATGTGACTTTGAGGTCTCCTTAGAACAGCCTTCTCCGAAAAGCTATCGTCACACATTTAGTGGTGGGGTGATTCCCTGAACCCTGAGTCAGCAGATGAGACAAGGCTGGGTGGGCTGGTGGTGTTTCCTGACACGCCGCCCCAGGCCGGGTGGAGGCGGCCGAGGCAGGGCTGCTCCTGGGCTTGCTCCCCACTTTGCAGGGACGGCCACTGGCTCTGCTTCTTCATTGCAGTGTCGTTTGGTTTATTAGAAGAAGTGGTCATGTCCATGCGGAGTGTGTATTCCCCTCTAGAGCATCAGGAAACTGCAGCAGCCGGGGGGCTCCTGGTCCCAGGCTGGAAGCCACACTGCAGGCTTGGGTTTCATTTCCTCACCCGTCAGACCCAGACGCCCCTGTGGCACAACTTCCCAGACTCTTGACACTCACAGCTGAGGTTCCCGCTTCAGCTTGTTCTTTCTTCTGTCCGCCTCCCCGGCATGGTGGCACTGACAGCTGTTGTAAACCCCGAGCCTCTGCTGCATACTCCTCTTTTAAGGAAAGAAAATAGAATTTCAAGTAGATACACAGATGATAGAAATGCAGAGATTAAGGGCATCAAAGACTTCAGAAGCCACGCAGGGCAGAGCGTGGGGCAAGTCGAGGATGCTGCCTGCCCCTCCTCCCCGGCTCCCCCCACAGCCTGCCCTGCCTGAGGGGAACAAGCGCCCGAGGGGACTGGGGAGGGCTCTGGCTTGGATGTAGGAGAAATACTGTGACTCTTCCCCTGCATGGAGAGTCCAAAACCCAGAGGGACTTCCTGCTGGTTTCTGAGCAGCCTTCCAGGAGTGGTAAAGGCTGTCTCTGGGTTACTCTGGCCTCTGGAGCCAGCAGCCGCGTCAGTGACAGTCAGCGGGACAGGCCGCAGGGCCTGGGGGAGCACGGTGACCATGCTGGTGGGATGTGGGGATGGAGAGGGCCAGAGGGGCTCCTACCTGAAAATGACTAAGCACCAAGCCGGAAATGTGGGTGGAGAAGCCGGGAGGCAACACAGGGTCCCAGCGATGACCCAGAGGGAGGCAGCGGTGGGAACAGTAACAGGAAGCCCCAGGGTCCATTCTCTCCTGGTGCCGACAGGGCTGGGTGAGCTGCACTAGCTCTGGGAGCAGGCAAGTGGCTGCCTGGTCACCACCCCAGCTCTTAGGCCCACGTGGCAGGAGGAGGGGCCAGCGGGTCAGTCCATGTTTGCCTTGGGTCTGGAGGCAGACGGTGACAGGGAAATCTTTCCTGCCCCCCTGAGCCCTGCCCAGGCCTGTGCCCAAGCCCTGGGACCCTCCAGGTCCAAGATGCCGAGTGATCCCTCAGCCAGCAGCCCCAGCAGCGCAGCGCCATATTCCCACCTCAGCGGCTGTGCCTGCTCCATTCTTCTTCCCCTTGCCCTTGCCCTCACCCTCCAGGACTCCTGAGGAGATGATCTGCCCTGAGCAGGACCCCTTGGTCCTCTCATTCCAACTGCCTTCCCCACCTCTCCTGGAAAGGGGGTGCCTCCTAGAGGCCCAGGGCAGAGAGGAGGAGATGGGGGGCGCAGATTTAGAGCCCCAGAAAAGGCAAGGGCTGTAAAGCAGACACTCGCCCAGCACTAAGCAACACCAGAGCCATGTGGGACGGGGGCTGTGAGCAGTGGGAGTTGACACACAGAAGTGCTGGAGTCCTGAGCAGCCCGAGAGCCAGCTCTTGCAGTGGGCAGCCCACTGCCTGCCCACCGGCCCTAGTGCAGTCATCCCCCTGCTGGGAGGGGCCCACACCCACCGGCCGCCTTGCAAACCCATCCCCTCAGGATGCAGGACCCGCCGCTGCTTTCTCAGCATGTGGCCGAGGCTGGGCGCCCTCAGAGGCTGGCTCCCCGCCTCGATTACAGGGCCTATGGAAGTTCCTCAGGGACTCTCCTGTCACCCCACCCAGGCGCTCAAGGACTCGGGAAGAAAGTGAAGCGGGAGAATAGGAAAAAGGACATGGGCTCAGGGCCTGGGCACAGCTTGGCTCTGCAGAGACCTCAGGGTTGGGTTGTCCACTTGGAAAAGGTGGGCGCTGCCTTCCCTCGGTGGCCAGGGAGAGACCTAGTGCAGCCAACCCCGCCCTGAGCTGGTCTGTCCCAGCCAAGGGCTGTGTTGCTGGAGCAGGGCCCACCCCGCTCTCGCCCACCCCTCCGTGTTGCTGTGTTAACTACCACCTCCTGTTGCCAATGGATTCCAGAATGCAGAGGAGAACTCCCGCATCTCCATCACCTTCTTCCGCCTCTTCCGGGTCATGCGCCTGGTCAAGCTGCTGAGCCGTGGGGAGGGCATCCGGACGCTGCTGTGGACCTTCATCAAGTCCTTCCAGGTAGCCACCTCTGCCCTGAGCACTGGTGGGAGGAGGCCTCCGCTTCTCCTGGGCTGCAGGGCTGCACGGGACTCCCCCACCCCAGCTCCCACGGGCTCCCTGAGCGGGAGGAGACAGTCAAGGAACGAGTAGCATCCAGGAGTCAAGACGGGGCTCGCTCTGCTGCTCACTGCTGCTCGTGTCTGACATGAGTCTCTTGGACTCAGTTTGTGGTTCTCAAAAGCATGTCTGGGTCCCCGGATTTCCCTGAGGTCGGGTGGGGAAGGCTGAAAGCCGAGGGGGTGCTGAATGGCTCTGCTTTCTTCTCTCACTTAGGTATTTTTCTGCAAGAATTGATTAGACAGAGGGACTTTGTGGTGGAACAAATTTGAAAACCATGGCCCCCAAGACCCTCCCAATTCTGTCATTGCAGCAGTGACTGCTGTTCCTACTTAGGGACCTGGCTAAACTCTCCAGGACCCGGTGTCACTGCTCTCGAGGAGAGATGGAACCTCAAATGAGCACAGGGTTGCCCAACATAGAATCAGTTCTCTTGGCTCAGCCATCATTTTCCATCTGTAAAAGCAGAATAACGATTGCCTCTGGCCATCTCTGCGAGGCTTATATTAGCTTAAGCAAAGCCCTGTCAGGTCACTGAACCCCTGACAGGTGTGGCGCTGCCATCAGGCACCTGCTTGCTTTGGAACCCACCCCAAAGGCGTACACACCTCCACAGAGAGCCTCCTGCCCTGCGTTAGCATCCCCGCCCAAGACGGGCCCCAGGGAGGGCTCCAGCCTGGCTGCACTCCTAGCCGGCCCAGGCTGACTGCCCACCTCAGGAGGAGCAGGGCCCTCCCTGCCACCCCACCCACCCTGAGCCACTCTTAGTCCCTGGGAGGCTGAGGATTCTTCGGAAAGCAGACTGGGCTGACCCTGTCCAACGGGCACCTTTGGAGACCCACAGCTGTGGGTGACCGTATAGGCCTCCCATGTTTCCTGGGCTGGGAAGAGGCCCCGGGCCTGTGAAGAGTGAAGCTGGGCTGTGGAGCTGGAGCGCTGATGGCACTTAGCATCCACATGGTCTCGCAGTGCCATCTAGTGGTGTGCGGGCACCTGGCCGGGCATTTCCCCAGGGGCCTCCCCAGAAGTGGCAGGGGCTCTGGAAAATTCCGTTGTCTGTGCATCTGGGCAGATAATACCTTGAGTGAATAAAATGTGTGGAACCCAAGTGCAAGGCAATGCACGAGACATTTTGTAAGCCTTACATCATTTAAACTCTACAAAAGCCCCACAAAGTCATCGTTGCTCTTCTCATTTTTCAGATGAAGAAAATGCGGCTCAGCGAGGTTAAGTAATATGCCCAAGTTCTCATAGCTAGAGAGTGGCAGAAATAGGATTTGAGACCATCATATTTCTTTTAGTTAAGTTTCCCTTAGTAAATGTTTTTATCACAACTAGTGGAACAACATACAGTCATACAAAGAAAGGGAGGGAGCTTCCTCCACCTGCGCCTCCCGGGGAGCCTTGGTGTGTGTCCTCTGAGCCTTTCTCCTTGCTGAACAAAGATACATGTCTCCTCGGAGGACATTTTGCTCATTTTTCATTGTTTTTACTAAGTAATATCACACTATGTTCTTTACTCTGCAACCTGCTTTTCTCAATACTGTACTGCTTCTCAGGTGATTAAAACCAAGTAAAATGAAGGGTCAGTGCCATCACTCAGGCCTTCTCCCAGGTGCCCAGAACCATGGAGCCCCTGGAAATGCCCCCCAAGCCAGGCAGCTGCTGGTGGCAGGTGCCGTGCCCTGGGAAGGGGTCCAGCCAGCCCGCCGTCTTCACCGCCTCACGAAGTCTTTTGCTTCCTCCAGGCCCTGCCCTACGTGGCCCTTCTGATCGTGATGCTGTTCTTCATCTATGCCGTGATCGGGATGCAGGTAGGGGCTCCCTGGTGCTCGGCTCCTCTGTCCCCTGCTTTCCCAGCCCCACACTCCCTGACGCCCTCTGCCTTCTCACCTCCCCCCTGCTCCTGACTACCCTGCTCCTGACTACCCCGCTCCCTCCTCTTTCACCTTCTGAGGCCCAAATGTCATAGGAATTGGAACTTCCCCCCAAATGATATCCTATAGGTAGCAGGGTGAATGGCCAAGAGTGGAATACACAGTTCAGAGAGTTTCTCTCCCCATTTTCCCAGGCCTGGGTTCTGCGCTCAGAAAAACACTTCCAAATTATTCAGTGGGCTCAAGAGATAAGGGCCCTTCTCAGAAAACCGCAGGAAGGGTGCGTCAGACAGCATCCCTCCCTTTGCCCAGGTCTGACGGGCCTGAGAACTATCCCAACCAGTGTCGCTCAGGAGAGAGGGAGGGAGAGAGGCAGGCTCTCCCCATCAAACACACAGCAGTTTCCAGGCACCCCACAGGTGCCACTGCACTTTCTCCTGCCCCAAGCCCCAAATTCTCCAGCCATGCCTCGGGGTTCCCGAACAACACCCAGCCCACACTGCACCCTGGCCAAGAGCTTTTCCTCAGCAGCTCCTTGAGCATGATTCTCCTGCTTGCTTATTGCAGAAAGACCCTAAGGTTCATAGGCCAAAACATTTGAGATGAAAAGAGCTACCTTGCCATTGATCAAGGGTGGCAGTTTCTGAGATAAGCATCGCTTTAAAAGTTCGGGGGATGGGGTGAGGAGGCCTCTGATTTCAAGGATGCATTAAATCTGTCGAAGCCCCAGATTGCTTATTCCATATCATTCCAGAGTCCAAGAACGAAATTTGGAAGTGTGCTTGGGCATATGGAGCTGAAATGGCAAAGGCATCAATGAGTTCTGATGATCTAATGGTGATGATAGTTAATAATAATACAGATTTGTAGCCTTGACATTGCTGACAGATCGTAAGCGTTCTTACACCAAAAAACTATTAACTGTGTGAGATGAGGCATGCTAATTGTCTTGATATTGGTAATGATCCTATAGTGTGTGTGTACATCAAATCATCAACACATTGTACACTTTAAATATATATAATTATATTTGTTAGTTATTCCTTAATAAAGTTTTTAAGAGAAAATATTCTTAAGAATGTGCAGTTCCCTCCCCACTGAAAACCAGCGAGCCTGTTCTCAGCCTCAGCGCCCACCGGGCCACCGGGCCTCTCCTGAGGGCCCATGGGCTCTTCTTACCTGTCCAGTGTGGGGGATTGACACAGGGAAGCAGGTGCCTGCCTCCTTGAGGCCCAGCCAGGTTGCATGAGAGGACTCTGCTCAGTTTATAGGCCAGCCTGTCCCAGGGTCAGCGCTGACCCTGAGGAGACCTTTGAGTGATGGGTGGGAACTAGGGTGCTCCTGGTCCATGCTTCACCGAATCCCTTTCCTCTCCCCTTTTAGGTGTTTGGGAAAATTGCCTTGAATGACACTACAGAGATCAACCGGAACAACAACTTTCAGACCTTCCCCCAAGCTGTGCTGCTCCTCTTCAGGTGGGTCTCTGAGGACCGTGCACACAGAAACAGCAGCATGATGCCGCCCTAGAGTCTGGATGTGGAACGAGAGGGGACTCTCTCCAGGAGAGTAGACGGGGTGAACTGGTGCTGGGTCTCCCTCCACGGACTGGGAAGCAGTCATTTCATTGTTATTTACAACCTCCCATCAGGCAGCCCATGGACACGGCACAGCTGCTGGTAACCACCTGAAAACAGTAGGGGATCAAAAGTCAAATTCTGAAAGCACCCTGGTTTGGGAACTGAACAGGCTCAAAGCCAAGCCTGCAACACACTTGCTCTATGGCCCTGAGTAAGAATCTAACTTCTCTGAGCCTCAGTTTCCTCATAAAACAAATACAGGTGCCAATGTCGGTGCCATTGCTGTGTTGGATGGGTATGTCCATGTGCTTGGTTCCTCCTCGGTGAGGCCAGCCACGCACCTTTACTTCTTGGAAAGCCACCCTCGGGTGTAGCTGGGGAGGGCAGTGTTCTCATGCCTGCCTGTGAGTGAGCGAGTTTTTGCCACTTGCAGCCAGCTTCTCCTCCTCCTCTGGCTCCTCGCCACCCTGTCAGCCCCCTTGGTTCTTATCACTTTCCTGGGACCCCACCTAGTCCAGGGCTAGGAGGTGAGAACTGTTAACCTATCCTGGGCCACATGATTTCTAGTCATTGCCCTTACCATCCCCTGGCGTTCCTTTCCAGAGGATCCAGGGATTCTCTCTATCAGATAGCCCACCTTCAACATATTCTAGAGCAGTGGTTCTCAACCTTCCTAATGCCACGACCCTTTAATACAGTTCCTCATGTTGTGGTGACCCCTAACCATAAAATTATTTTCGTTGCTACTTCATAACTGTAATTTTGCTACTGTCATGAATCATAATGTAAATATCTGATAAGCAGGATGTATTTTCATTGTTAAAAATTGAACATAATTAAAGCATAGTGATTAATCACAAAAACAATATGTAATTATATATGTGTTTTCCGATGGTCTTAGGCGACCCCTGTGAAAGGGTCGTTCGACCCCCAAAGGGGTCGTGACCCACAGGTTGGAGACCCACAGGTTGAGAACCACTGTTCTAGAGCATCCTTTCTTCATGACCAAGCCTAAGTATCATTATTGCTTAAATGTCTTCAATCAAATGACAGAGCCCTCCCTCAGACTGTGGCTATGAGAACACAAGGGCCACTGTCAACTGCAATTTAACAACACTTAAGCCTATGCCACATTTAAATAGGGGAACTAGGCATAGATGACAGAGCAAGAACATGGGTCTATCTCCCCTCCTTTCCTCAAGTCCTTGATGACAGAGATATTTTTAAAAGAATAAACCGTAACAGTACTAGGAAGAAGAAAAGCAAACATGAAAGGGCGCTATTGGTGAACCAGAAATATTGAGAATTTCCTAAGTGGAAGAAAGCAGATAGGATTCAACTACAAAGAAAAAAAATGTAATATGTACATTCTAAACCACTAGAGGGGAAAATGGATGCACACACATAAACTATTGCAACTTAGCAAAAGGACAGAGATGCAAAGAAGGGAAGGAAGGGAGGGAGAGAGAGAAAGAGAGAGCAAGAGAAAGAAAGAAAGAAAAGAAAGAAAGAAAGAAAGAAAGAAAGAAAGAAAGAAGGAAGGAAGGAAGGAAGGAAGGAAGGAAAAAGAATAAAAGAAGAGAAAGAAAACTAGAACAAAAATTAAGATGGTGGGAATAAGAACAAAAATTAATCACGAAAAATTAAATTTCTCTATTAAAAGATAGATATTCTAATGTTGGCTTTAAGAAGTCTACCTCTAGCCTGTTTATAATAGGTAGAGTAAAATAAAATAACCTAAAGAGAATAAAAATAAAGGAATAGAAAAAGAATACCAGACCATGCTTACCAAAAATGTAGATGTAATAAAAGCAATATCAGAAGAAATAAAATTCCAGGTGAAAGAAGGATATTCAATATTGATAAAAGATATAATCCATCAATAATATGTAACAATCATAAAACCACATGCATGTAACAACATATTTGGAAATATATCAATCAGACACTGATAGAACCATAAAGAGAAAATGAACACACACACAGGGGGAGACTTCCATACAGCACATAGAAGCTGACAGACCAAACAGGACATCTAAATAACATAATTAAACCTAATTGAATAACTCTGTACTCAATAAATAGCAAGAAAAAACAACACTACTTTTTTAATCACCCAGAAACATTCCAAAAATTAGCCAAGATGTAAGTCACAAAGAAAATTTCAATAAATTCTAAAATTTCTCTTACTTCACTCTAACCGGTTTGGCTCAGCAGATAGACCATCAGCCTGCAGACTCAAGGGTCCCAGGTTCGATTCCGGTCAAGGGCACGTACCTTGGTTGTGGGCACATCCCCAGTAGGCGGCGTGCAAGAGGCAGCTGATCGATGTTTCTCTCTCATCGATGTTTCTAACTCTGTATCCCTCTTCCCTCCTCTCTGTGAAAAATCAACAAAATATAAAAAAATAAAATTTCTCTTACTTCAGTACAGCAAAAATTAGAAAGTAACCATAAAATTAGTAGTCCCTCCAAAATCTATTCACTTGTGTTCTAAATAACTCAGAGCTGAAGCTACAAACTACTTAGAAATGAGAGAGAGAGAGAGAGAGAGAGAGAATAATATCTTAAATTGATGAGCTTTACTAATCAATGAAAAAGGAAAATTTGGAGCCAAGATTAATTTATTTTTTTAAGTGTATAATAATTCAACTAATAGATGGAAAAAGAACAGCCATATTACCCCCAAAGGATGAAGGAATGCATTTATTAAAATAAAAGCAGAAATAAATAAAATATCTTTAAAATATATTAATAAACCTTAAAACAATCTTTGAAAGGAGCAATAAATGGACAAACTTTCATCAAATCCAAATTTTTTGAGAATTTTTCAAGAGTTTATTTGAGCCAAACTGATGACAGATGCCAAGGAGCAAGATCTCTAATGCTCCCAAGTTTTCCAGCTTCTTTTATTCATTTTAAATTAAAGAAGGAATTTAGAGAAGATTACATAGAGGTGGGAAAAAGCAGGGTAGGAATTGGATTACAGGATTGTTAACTAGATTACGTGCTTTCTTTTTTATTTACTTTTCAATTACAGCTTAATTCAATATTATTTTATATTAGTTTTATGTGTACAGCAGAGTGGTTAGACAATCAAATTATATAATTTATAAAGTGAACCTCCCAATGTATCAAGCACTCACCTGGCACCATACATAGTTATTCTAATACTAGAGACCTGGTGCACAAAATGTGTGCACTCGGAGGGGTCCCTCAGTCCAGCCTGCACCCTCTCACAGTCTGGGAGCCCTCGGGGAATGTCTGACTGACATTCCCCTAGGGGGAGCGGGCCTAAGGCAGCAGTTGGACATCCTTAGCGCTGCTGTGGAGGCGGGAGAGGCTCCCACCACTGCCACTGGGCTCACCAGCCATGAGCCTGGCTTCTGGCTGAGCAGTGCTCCCCTTGTGGAATCAGGCCAAAACCCACTCTCCTCCAACATCCCCCTAAGGGGTCCTGGATTGCGTCCTGGATTGCGAGAGGGCACAGGCCAGGCCAAGGAACCCCACCAGTGCATGATTGTGGCTAGGGGGAGAGACACGGGAGGTTGGCCAGTCAGGGAGGGACCACGGGAGGGCTCCAGGGCATGTCCGGCCCGTCTCACTCAGTCCCAATCAGCTGGACTCCAGCAGCAAGCTAACCTACTGGTTGTCTGCCCCCCTGGTGGTCAGTGCATGTCATAGCGAGTGGTTGAGCGGCCTTAGCATATCATTAGCATATTACACTTTGATTGGTTGAACAGCTGACCGGTTGACTGGACACTTAGCATATTAGGCTTTTATTATATAGGACTAGAGGCCCGGTGCACAAAAATTTGTGCACTCGGGGGGAAGGGGGGGTCCCTCAGCCCGGCCTGTGCCCTCTCGTAGTCTGGGACCCCTCGGGAGATAACGCCCTGCTGGCTTAGGCCTGCTCCCAGGTGG